CCCTCTACCCCTGCAAGTTGGATAACTCACTAGCACGACTTTCAGAATTCAGGAAAATACTATATTTATATGGAGACAACTTTATAGCAAAAAGATATAAATCAGAACTCAGAACCAGTCTAAGGAAGAGACACATAGGACAAGGTAGAAAGGGTCCAGAAATGTAATACTTCTGTCCTCGCCAGGAACACGTCACCCACCGGCGCTTGGATGGACGACAACACACTGAGGGCTGTCAGCAAAGGACACTGCCTGAAGTGTGGCATCTGGAGTTTTAATTAGGGTTTCGTTACGTAGGCATGACTGATTAAATCACTGACCACTAGTCCCCCGTCCCTGGCCTACAGGTGGGGCTGACAGCACACAGCCAAACGCTCCAACCCTCCAATCACACAGTATTTCTGGCGTGGCCAGGTGCCATCCTGCCATCTCATCAGCATACTCTCCCTAGAGGCCAACCAGGAGTCATTTATCGGTGTAAACAATCAGCTGTGGTCCAAGGGGCTCCCCACGAATAATAAAGGCCCTCCTGGGCCTGCCCTGTAGCTTAGTGGTTAAGGAAGCCAGATCCCACAGGGCTGACCACAGCATGAAGCCCAGTCCTGGTGACTGAGAAACATGCTCCGTGTGCATGCCTCCAATCTCGACAGGATGGAGAAACAGCTATGAGATTGTGGCACGACCACACCCATGGGGGGGTGCTCTCTCCTCTCTGCCTCCCTGTCTCTCTCTGATGAGTGTGCATACCCTCTGGTAATTTTTTAAAAAATTGCTATAGGGTGCAAGTGCTTGCTGGAGGGAGAGAGAGAGAGAGAGAGAGAGAGAGAGAGGGAAGGCACCCCTCAAGGGGATGGACAAGCCCCAGTCTGTTCTCCATTCTCCTCTTGGGATTCTAGGCAGGCACACTCATGTGTCTGGCCTCCGAGTCCAGGACTTGAATAGCACAGTCGGCCATACGGACTCCAGCCGCCTTAACCACCGCACCATGCCTGACCCACGCCCCGCTGCTGACAAAAATAATAAAAGAAAGAGATTGCCAACATGCAGTGAAACAAGGTGAATAAAAACTATGTGCAACAAAGGTCACAGGAAACTCTCAGTCCCTCTGCAGGGAGAGAATGGAGCAGGGCGGCTGCATTCCTCCAGCCGTGAAGCTGGAACCTGAGAGCCGCTGAAGTTCTACGATCGTGACGCGGTGAGGGCAATGGCCCAGATGCCACCATGGCTCAATCTAGGGCAGTGCCACTGCCCACCACTACCTGTGCAGACGAGTTGAGGCAGCCCTGCATGCCACCTAGGGGAGAGGCGGTGGGATTAACAGCTTCTGCCGGAGGTAGTGACAGGTCTCTTACAGTCTTTATTTTTCACCACTGGACTAGGACTCTGTCCACATAAACAATGAGTCAGCAATTTCCCAAGGTAGAGTCCTGGATGATCAAGCCTGACCTCATTTTGTAGTTTGTGTCAACTTCCTGGTGTTGACATTGTGCTGTGTTCATGTAGGATGTGACCATTAGGTAACCACTAGTCCCCGTCCCTGGCCTACAGGTGGGGCTGACAGCACCTGGCCAAAAGCTCCAACCCTCAAATCACATGGTATTTCGGGCATGGCCAGGTGCCACCCTGTCACAGACTCCTGGAACATGTCTGGGACCCCTCTGTACTATATTTGCAACTTTTTATGAGCCTATAACTATTTCAAAGCCAAGGTGCCGGCAGGGGGTGTGGTGGTTAAAGGAGCTGGGCTCCCACATGGCTGATCACAGTTTGAGTCGCAGATTTGGTTGCTTTCTTTCTCTCTCTGTGTGTGTTTCTCTCTGGTCAAATTGAAAAAATAACGATAATAAATAAATAAATCACAGTTTGAGTCCCAGATTTGGTGGCTTTCTTTCTCTCTCTGTGTGTGTTTCTCTCTGGTCAAATTGAAAAATAACGATAATAAATAAATAAATACATGTTTAAAAAAATGTTAGAAACAAACCTAACCAGTTAACAAACTTGCTTCAGACCTCAGTAGAGCCCGAATACTTAACCAAGTCAGCAAGTTATCACGGGACCTGAGCTGCCCATCACTCTGCCCCAGTAACAGAACCGGCTGGTATCTGAGCCTTCAAGCCACAACGTCGATGGTGTAACACTTGGTCATCCAATGGAAGTAGTATGTACAAAACTGGACTCGAGTAGGTCTTAAAGGCCTTGTAATTGTGTGGCCTCCCCGTGCCTGTGCCCTACTCCTCCTCCAGTATGTTCTTTCTTTCAACTCCTACACAGATTCATGGGGCTGCCGACAAGCAGTTGTTGGAGAAAACTCTCGAGCTTGGTTTACGCAGGGCTCTGCCTAATATGCAGACAGCCCCTCACACAGTACCAGAATCCCAGACAGCGGTGAAGGGAAACCCTCCCAGTGGGAAGCACTTAGAGCAGTGCATCTGAGTCTTCATGCTGCCTGGCAGAAGTACAGGTCTACACTTTTTCTTTTTTCTCAAAAGAATTATTTATTTTATTATTATTATTATTATTATTATTATTATTATTTGGAGAGGTTTTTTTCTATAGGGCACATGTGCTCACCAGAAAGACAGAGAGAGACAGAGAGACAGAAAGCAAGAAATCACTTCCTGGGGGCATGGCCATGCTGCAATCCCTTCTCCTCCATTCTCCTCTCGGGATCTTGGGCACACACGCACACATGCCCGGTGTGAGTTTAAGCCACCAGGTCCAGGACTCAAACTGAGGTCATCTACATAGGAGTTCAATGACATGGCCATTATGCTGGCTGCTAGTCCTTTATTATCACTATTTTAAATTTTTTCTGTAGCCACTAGAGAGAAACAGAGAGGGACAGTGAGAAAGCAAGCCACCAGGTCCAGGACTGGAACCATGCGGACAATGTTCAGTGCCCTAACCACGATGCCACCTGCTGGCCCCAGGTCTGTGCTTTTTCATGGACTGTGGCTGGATGGCAAGTACTCAAAAGGAACATAATGAGAAAATTTGTGACAGACAAGTCTAGAGAAGAGGTATATAGACAGACTTTAGTGACTGGGCGTAGAATGTGAAGATAATCATGTCCCGTATGAACGCTGACCAAAGGGTGACCCGCATGAGGGAGGTTCTAAAGCAGTAGAGATCCATTCTGTGGCTGGTAGTCATCTTCCGTCCCCGGCCAAGCGGACTCACGAATATAGTCTTAAGAGATGGAGATTATGAACTCAACATCAACTTTCACTTTCCTGGGCCAATCTGGTGACATCCAGTGTCCATATTCCAACAGCAGACACCAACACAGATACGGGCCACCACGCAGGAGGGCTTAGTCAGCTACCTGGTCGTAGGCATGGTCGTAGGGTACACTGGGCCGGTTCTGCCACGGAAGACACAGCCCTTTGTCCTTGCCAGAACACACACCTTGGATACAGGATCGCTGTTCCTGTCCACAAAGCTTCTGCCCAAACAACTCTCTGGATTTACAGAATGCTTTTTATTTTTTTAATGGTTCTGGTATCCCACACAGCATGTTTCTGACCTGGGAACTCCCTCCACAGTAAATGAAGTATGGCGACAGGCCCCTGCTTGTGCAACTAACTGGCCTTACCAAGTTCCCAATCAGCTTGAAGCAGCTGGCTTGACAAGTGAGTGTAGTCCGTTTCTATTCTTTTCATTGAGCCAATTTGAGATGTAAAAGGTCTACTGAAATGGGCTGCATCAGGGTCAGCAGGTGGCATGCCAGTTAAGGCACTGGACTCCCATATGGTTAACTGGTTTAAGGCTTGGACTTGGGGCTGGCTTTCTAGCTTTCCCCCTCTCTATTTCTGACTCTCTCTGGCCAAATTAAAAATAATAGTAAATTTAAAAATAAAATAAATAATTCTGCCCCCCCCAAAAAAGGAAAGAAATGGGATGCCTCATAAAACTGGAGCAAAATGGGTTTTCTATTGTACCAAAGAAGAGAAAGAGGATGGAAGAAGTAAATTTTAATGGTCTTCATAATATATGACTGTAACTTGTCACTATTTTAATTTTTTGTATGCTTGAAACAGTTTATACTAAATTTAAAACTTGGAGGCCTGGGCTGGCTCTCTGGCCTAGTAGTTAGGATTGCCAGATGCCACATGGCAGGATGTGCAGTTTCAGTCCTGGCCCCGAGGCTTGAAAGGCTACAGGGTGTGTGCACTAGTTCAAAATCCCGACGAGATGGAGGGACGGAGAAGGAATTATGGTGTGACGATGCCCCAGAGGTGGGTGCTTTCTCTTGCTCCCTTTCCTGTCCTTCTCTGCCAGGTGCAATGGCCCTCTGACCAACAAAGAAAAAAATGGCAGGCCTGTCTGAGCAGGATTCCCACGCTCTTACAAGACAAATCTGTCTTTCTTCTGTGTCCTACGTGGTTCATCTGTGGGTTTTTCTGGCAGGAGCAGATGGTCTGAAGCCAAGCCTCAGTTAAGTAAAATCGTGTGTGCGACCAACTGGTAGAACCAGAATGAACAGGCACAGAGGGCCTAGAGCAAATTTAAAAATAAATCAAACCTTCAGCACTTTACTGAAATTGGGTGTGAACACTCCTCGTCTGTATCGTTCACTCTTGGACCTCCCCTGCACTCATAAGAGCTCGCAGCGGCAGCCGGGCTCAGCTCGAGGGCCGCTGCCCAGGAATTTTCGGGATGGGAAGGCGACGGTCCGCTCCTCTGGCGAGTCCCGCTTTCTCTGGGGCGGGAACAACGTGGGCTAGCCTCGCCCACGCCAGAGAGTCAGTCCAAGCCCCGCCCACGCTGGTCCAAGCCCCGCCCACGCCAGCCCAGCCTCCCGTTGGGTCCTGACGCCAGGACCCCACGGGGCTGTCCGCGGCTGCGCCCGACTCCGCCTTCTCTGTAGCCTGAGCAGACAACCCCCATCTCCTCCGGGTCTGCTCTGCCGCGTGGCTCTCGGGCCCGAGGAGTTCGCCGCGAGAAAGGGCCGCGAAAGAGGGCCCCCCGTTTCACGAGGGGGGGTCGCGGTAGGCGGTGGAGAATACGGCCCTGGACGGGAGCCGGTTCGCTGCCTGCGCTGCAGCATGGCGGCCGGGGGACGCGCCGGCAGCCTGTCTGCCGT